CCCACTCGTTTTGCTTCCCTGCCGTCACATTTCACAGGGGGAAAAAAGTGTCCTTGCGCGCTTACCTCACACCAGGAATACGAGACAGTTTCGCCAGGCCTTGCACAATTTATGCAAGGGTTCAATCTCCAGAATCAGGCATGGCTGGTTGGGAGAACTTCCTGCCCGTACCCCTGGATGGGGCTGGACACATCTGGCCCGCTAAACAAAGCCTCTAAACTGCTTTTCAGTTGGAGAACAAAAACAGAGCGCGTTTTGCTGCTGTCAGTCTTAAGCCTCCTAATTGTGGAAGCAGGCTGCCTTTTAAAAAGTTAAAAGAAACCAGTTTATGAGCCCGAAGCCGTCTTGCTTAGTTGACGCTGTCGATGGGAACGGTGTCGCACCACAGAATCCCATTCATCTCCGGAATAGTCTCAACCCCTAAGTAGCTGAGCAGAATGTCACTCCGACGTCGTGAGAGCTGAAGGATGTCTTCCGCTAATAAGGACACCGTTGTGTATCTGACTATGTCTAGATCAAACATGTCTTTCAAATATTGCAAAATCTGGTGCTGGGGACAGAAAGAGAAAAACGATTAGATGCCCCGAGTTTGTGGTTTCAAAAGACCACGCCAGGATTTTTTCTCTCCCTCTTTTTTTAAGCGACTCCACATCCTTTTCCACCTTAAACCCTTTCAGAATGAAAAAGAACCTTTACCTTAAAAAAGCTGCAGACTTCAAAAAGGTGCTGTTTTGGCCCCAGGAAACCAAATGCCAGAACGGGGCTGACGTGCTCCGATACGGAGTAGAAATGAGAAATGAAACCATCGGGGACCTAACGAGGAACCAGGGGCGGGGGAAAAAATGGAAAGTTTGCCACTAAAGGTCAAAAATCATACATGAAACATGGTCTTCACCTGGGAAAGTTACTATAAAAACAGAGAACCCTTCCAACGCCTTTCCAAACCCTTCCAGAAGAGTGTGAAATCCTGGGGGCCTGATGGGGGCTCACATTGCTGGAACTGGCTGGTGGGGTAATCAATTCTATCCCCCCCCCCTCTTGAATTGTATATAGTCTTTTTATATACTATTTTTTTTAGCTAATTTAACGCTAAAAAAACCTCGGGGGGAAATGGGCGGCATATAAATTTAATAAATAAATGGATAAATAATAATAATGCCAGTTCTCGGAAAACCCACTTGGATGCATTAACAGGAGTATAGAATCCAGACTGCAGAAAGTACTTAATCAGGCCCCAACTGCAGAAAAGCAAATTCAGTTTGGTTTTGTTTCGTTTTTTGGGGGAGAAGGAATTTTCCTTTGTCAACCAATAGAACACCTCTTTAAATAATGTTAAGCCTATCCAGCACCTCTTTAAATAATTTTAGCAGATCCTGCAAGGGGCAGAGGGTTGGACTGGATGATCTCAAAGTTCCTCTCCCGCCTTATGATTCTTTCTTCCTAGAACTGGACAGAAGGGAGGGCCAAATCCCATTTGCAAATCAGTTTGTAAAGAGAAAAAGGGAAATCAGGACTGGATCACTCTCTCTGACTCCCCCTCGCGCTCACGTACCATAAGAAGCCGCCTCTTTGCTTTTAGCACCGACCAGCACGCGGTTGCGAGAGCCTGAAATTAAAAGAAAACAGGTAGACCTACTTGGTTATTTTTCCTCTCATTTAAACTTGTCTATAAACTGAATTCAGCATCCTTGTTGTTGCCCACATCCTGGAAGACCCACCATGGCCTCTGCGTCGCTAACATCGATAAAATAGATTTTTAAACAATTAAAAAAAATAAACAGACAACATCTCACACGCGATGCCGATATTCTTGCCAACGATACGGTTTTGTACGGTTTGGCCCATTTTTAATTGCTCACTTAGGGCAACGGTGTGGATTTACTTGATGGATTGCTTTGTTCAATTTATCTACCTCCCCATCTCAGCTGCACAATTCTTACAGTGGTTTAAAAGCACCAAGAAACAATACAATCAAACCGCATTAAACAAACCTAACACCAATACAGATCAGAATAACAAAACCCGGGGTCTGAAAGCAGTCTATATTCCACATTATCACTGTATGGGCATCCAGATGTCCACACCTGGTGGCACAGTGACATCTTTAAGATCTTGCAGATGGCCAGTAGGGTTGTGGCCAATCTAACATCTGGGGGGATGAGGTTCCTCAGAGTGGGCACCATGACAGAAAGGGCTCTCCTCCTGGGCCCCACCAGAGGACACTCTCTAGCACAGGGTTTCTCTACCGTATCAACTTTAAGATGGGTGGGCTTCAACTCCCCGAAATCCCCCACCCACCCT